CAACGAAGGAGCAGGGCCACGCCAAGTGGGGGAGCGGCGGGCCCACGGCGCAGGCGGGACGACAGCCGGTGCCACGGCGTGACAGGCCAGCGGCGAGGCGAGGAGGCACGGAGCAAACACCCAGCCACAGCGGGTGCCGAGGCCAAAAGGGGAGAGAGCCGAGCCCAGGCGAGCCAGGGCACAGGCGTGAAGAAGGGCGACGGCAAGAGGCGGCGAACGCCAGCCGGGGGCGGGGAACGCGGGAAGGCCACGCCCAGTGGGGGAGCGGCGGGCCAGGTGGGACGAACAACGTGGGCCCCGAGGCAACGAGCCAACTGGGCAGTAGCCGACAGCGGCGAGGTGCCATGGGGGCAACATCGGCCAGACACTGGTAGCCAGCACGCACACGCACGCACGCACGCACGCACACACACACAAGCACACACACACACACACACACACACACACACACACACGCACACACACCCGCGCACACGGGTGGATTTCACATGTGGCGCCCATGGAGGCCACGCGCTGGATACACGTGCGGGGGCCAGCGTGCCTGGCCACACAGGGGCCGAGCGCTGGAAAGACACACGTGGCCACACGTGCACCCAGCTCTCGCCCAGGCTGGCCGCCACAAATGTGCATCCAGCTCCCCCCCCTCCTCCTCCTCCTCCTCCTCCTCCTCCTCCTCCTCCTCCTCCTCCTCCAACTGCTCCTCCTCCTCCTCCTCCTCCTCCTCCTCCCTCCTCCTCCTCCTCCTCCTCCTCCTCCTTCTCCTCCTCCTCCTCCTCCTCCGCCCCCCGCGCTCTGCGGTGGCGACCCCGTGCGCGAGCCGAGGCGCGGCGCCCCCCAGGCGGGCCGACCCCGCTGAGCGCCAGGCCGCCGGCGTGGGCCGCGCGGCCCTCCGCGCCGGGCTGGCGGCCCTCCGCGCCGGGCTGGCGGGGCGGGCCGCGCCCGCCGTCGGCGCCGGGCTCACGGAGCGGGTCGTCCTCGCCGTCGGCGCCGGGCTGACGGAGCGGCTGCCCTCGCGCGGCCGCGCCGTCGGCGTCGGCGTCGGCGTCGTCGGCGCTGCCGTCGGCGTGGTCGTCGGCGTCGTTGGCGCCGCCGTCGGCGTCGGCGTCGGCGTCGTTTCGGGAGTCTTGGGCGCTTGCTGGGGGCTCTCGTCGCTGCGGCTGGTCGCGGCTCGAAGAGCTGGCAAGGGTGGGTGGGCTGCGGCGCGCAGCGCTGGCCGGCGCGCTGGCCGCTTCTGCCGACCATCCACGTCGCTGTCGCTTTCCGCACGTGCCCGCTTCGGCCCCGGGCGCCGAAAACTCCGCCCTCCCTCCCTCGCTGCCTGGACCGGCTGAGGCATGTCCGGCGGGGGGTCCGAGGAGAGGGGGCGACCGTCTGCGGGCGCCTTTCTCGCCGCGTCTTGCTCGTTGGGCGCTCGCGGCGCCAAGTCTCCGCCCTCGAGAGGCGTGAGCAGCTCGGGGGGGCTTGCCCTGGTGGGCTCTGGGTTGGAGACAAGGCCGCTTCGAGCTGGCTCCCATCCCATACTTGAGCGCCGCGCATGGCAACTCGGGCGAGATTCGCATACCGAGTCGGCAGACCTCAACAACTACATCATATGAATACTATTCTCCTCTCTCCCCCGACGACCCCGAGGTCGTAGCCTGCCCCCCTCCGCGTATTGCTTTTTTGTTATTTGTCACATCGGATCCCCCAGAGGTGATCGATCGTGTGTGTTTTTGTCGATCCAGCGTTTCCGGTGTTTCCAGAATGGCGCTCCCGCTACAGCGTTGGCTCCATTTTCTGGCCCTCGGCCCTTCCAACTTATACTCCCGCTGCATCGCTCATCTCATCTCTTTGTTGTGGATCTTTCGAACTGAGTTCCCGCAACAGCGTTGGCTCTCATTTAATGATTGACAATATCGAATCCAAATGTTATCGGTCCTTCCAAAATGACGATACCGCTTCATGTGTAGCTTCGTTTCACACTTCCGGCTCTTCCACAGTGGCACTCCCGTCTCATGGTTGGCTCCATTGCCGTGTTCTCAGCCAATTTGAAAAAGAGGTCTACGCCATGGTAAGGGATGGGAGGGAGGGGTACGACGTCAGATATGACGCGAGCGCACCTAGCTGGCCACCCCTCTCCCCGCTCCGCTCCACCCTCCCTTCCTCCCTTCTCCTCCCCCCCGTCTTATCCCGCCCCATCCTCTCCCTTCCTCCCTCCAACATCCAAAAACCTCGACCCCCAAACAACGACGCTCGACGCTCGAAGCTCGACGCTCGACGGCGACGACGACGACGACGATGGTGATGGCGACCAGGACGACGACAACGACGACTCCTTCAAAAACCGATCACCGAACCCCTCCAGGGGTTTGCTTTGACCAAGCGTCCAAAGGGAGTCCAAGAGTGGCGACGAGAAGACCCCCAGAGGCCCCCCAAAATACCACAGAACGCAAAACGACCACTCCGACCCTCGACCTTCGACCCTCAAAGTTCGACCTGGGGCTGCTGGAAGCCGCCCACT